GACGGAGGCGGCGTGGGGCGGGGCGGAGGCTGCTGGGACACGCCCCCTGCCCGGCCTGCGCCCCGGGATGTCTGCCGGGCCCTAGCGCCGCCGCCGCCATTTTGTGTCAGGTTCTCCGGGGAATTCCCGCTCTGCGTGTAGCCGGGCGGCTTCGGGACCTCGTCCCGTGGGAAACACGGCGTGAACAGGGTGTTTGCAGCTGAGAGAGGTGTCGCTATTCCTGTCTGCGAGGTGTCAGAGTTAAAGCGAAATCCACAGGGCTGAGGTACGGATCTTACAAGGTACCTCTAATAGTTGCAAAATCGGAACATAACTGAAGCTTAGGATGTTGATAATGCTGACAAATTGGGAATAGTGTTCACCTCATTCTTATTTTCGTTCTTAGTTTATTTTTTCCTCCCAGAGCTTCTCCATCCAAAGTTCTGGCCCAATAGTTACATTATCCACCTGAAATACTTTGAAATGGGTCAAACTCAAGAGGGACTCAACTGAAATTTTAAGTTTATTGTAAATCAGTAGATTTGTAACATAAAGTCAGTATTTGCAAAAAAGCAAGATACACTGAAAATAGCGTTTTCACAGACTGAGGGAAGCAACATGCAAGCAGCATAAAAGCAACCATGTATTTGTCTGGTTTTATAGCAGTGCTTTCTTTATTCAGACTGAGTTATGCTGGCAGAAAGCACCTATTTTTAAAAAATACCAAACGCCTGTGTCAAGTGGAGACCTTATAGCTGCAGGAGAAAACCAAAGGGGAGTTGTTTTAGTGACCGTTACCACATTTTCCCTTACGTGTTAGTATACATAAGAGTGACAGAAGGTACAAATACACAGGCTGGAAAGTTTTGTCAATAGGCAGCACAGAATAGACTCGGGATGTTTAGAAGCAGTGTCATGCTTTCTTGTGGAACAAGGACTTGAGGTCGGGCTCTGCTGCCTTTCTTCATTAGCGTTGTCACCAGATATTGTCAGACTGTGCTTGCTGGTGTTCTGAGGAGCGCTGCATCTTTCAACCTCACCTGGAGGTGCAGTGTTACCTACTACTCCTGAATTATACCATCTGGGGCATCCTGGAAATGCCTCAGTGCTCTGAAGGTCAATATTCAATTAATGATTAAAATTTAAGAGGTGCAAATGGAATTTCTGGGTTTAATCCTCTGGGAATTCTCCGCTCAAAACTTCATCTTCCAGTGGTTTCCAGTGCGTGGCACTAAATTAAGAATGGTTTGGGATACTTGATTCTATTTTTTTCTTTCATTTCAAATGGAAAAAGGGAAATGCCATTAAGTGTGGGCTAAATGAAACAAGAAAAGCACTCTTTGGTGAGTGACTGATAGTAGACTGGGGCACATGCTTAGTTTGATAGTAACTAAAACAATAATGTTCAAGAGCGTAAAATATGAGGTATAGGAAATGGGAAAGAAAATAAAAAGATTACTTAAAGAAAGAAATCATGCTGCTATAAGTAAATAAAGCTAAACATTTTTTCCCTCCAGTGTGGAAGTAAATAGGTTCTCCCTGAATCTATTGTCTAATGGGATGTTATGAGACTAAATGATAAACATATGCTTACGCCGAGTTATTTTACTAGTTGCTTCATTAACTTACATTAATCATATAAACAGAAATATTAATTAGAAATAGGGATTAAACTATGTTCCTGCCAACACTTTTTCCTGTCTCAAGAAAGATTTAATATTACCAAATGTATAGCACTACTTTTTTTGTTCTTTTATGTAGAATAGGGATCTCTTGCAGTTAGTGTATTGTGTATAGCTTCAATTTCTATCTAAAATAGATTTATACAGCCTTCAAAGTTCATCTTCTTCCTTAATAATCTTCAGCATCCCCAGCACAGATAGCAAGTAAAGCACTCTCATAATGCCCTGAAGCAAAATGCTGCAAGAAAAAAAAAAATCAACATTTCTGTGACTGTACATTTCCTTAATTTTTCTTCTCTTGGTGTGTGACAAGGACATCACTGATATTAAGTTTTGTAAAATATTACAGTGTTTTGATAAGGATTCTAGGCCAAGATTTTTAAAATTTCCCACACCTTGAGCTTTGGTTGCTTGGGCACCTAGAAACAATCTTACCTTGGAAAGGTTGGATCAAACCTGTTTAGTACTTTTCAAGTTTAATACCAAAAAATGCACAACCAGTTTCTTACAGTTACTGTACATCTTACAGGTGGATTATAGCAACATAAAAAAGGTAAAGTGTCTTAGCAAGAGTAATTTTTGTACAATTAAAAAGTGTCAGAGTTTTGCTTTAAGATACAGAGCAAGAGTACAAGAGGAATAGTTCTTTCGAAGGTTGATACTACCTAGGAGCAAAGAGAAAACCAGATTTTTATCCTGGGGTTTGCACGAAGGTGGTATCAGCCTCACCTTGCATGATGGTGTGAAAGAAGATGGTATCAATTGTGTAGAAACTATTCATGCAAACTGTTTCTCAGCATACACTGTCCTGCCCTTTTTATATTCTCTGTCTATTGGGGAGGGACAAAATCACATGGAATGAGAGTGAGTTGAGAATTCACTGCTCACTCACTGATGTCAGCCTGAGGCACTGAAAAAATAAGCTATTTTGCTTATTGCTTTGTTTGTTTGTTTGTTTTAAACCAAGTGGTTGGAGATTAGCCCTTTGTATTTTTCTGGTAGTACTTGGCACAGTCTGTGTGGTGCCAGTGCTGAATATATGCAAAAGTGTGTAAAAACTTACTTTAATGTCATGAAATAGTGATTTCCCATATCTCTCTTTGTATCGCTGTCGTATATTCATCAAGTCAATCTCACTCCTGGCAATGAGAATCCTTATAACTGTTTTATTGTGAAACCCAAAGTCCTAAAAAGAAAGATGAGAGGAAACTTGACAGTTGGACAACATGTGTTTGCCTATCTGTATATGCTCACATTAATGTTTTATGGATAAGCCTATTAATTAGGCAACCCATAAAGTCATCCCACGTTTTAAAGGAGTCTAAGCATTCAAAGATTTTATCCTACAGAGTTTTCACGTGCTGAAAGAATAGAATTCTCGTTACTGAATAACAGAAATTGCCCACATATCACTGTTTTAACCATGCGCTGACCTCTAAAAAGAAAAACCTGATGAACTCTTGTCAGTAGTCTTAGGTACTCAGTTTGTAGGTGGCTGTTGTGACTGTCGGTGTGGAGTCCATTCAAACTGTACTGAAGCCAGTAATCTTATTTCACAACCACTGCTGCCGAATGCGAATTCAGTGAGATTTTTAACCATCGAGTTAGAGTTTACATAGCTTGTATTCAGCTGTGTTTTATTTCAAGTTTCTAAATTAATTTTCATACTGTAATTGTGTGGAGAATGGGGACATCTAGTGGCAATAAAAGTAATTAGGGTTGGGATGACCGATGACCAGTTTAGATTGTTTAAATTGTGATTTTATGGACTAGCCATGATATTGAGATCTTGTTCTCTGAAAGCCAAGTAATGAGATATGTTTAAAAGCTGAATATAGAGAATTTGTTACATGTTTTAAGTCTAGATGATTTTTTTTAATTTTTTTTTTTTTTTAATAAACTGTTGTAGACAACGGCATTAGAATCCTTGGTGGGTTTTATTATATGATGTTATAAATGGAGGTAAAAAAGCTTTTGGTATAATCTGGTATTTGGTATAAACTTGGCTTCAAAACCAGACACTTTAAAATTCTTTCATTTGTTTTGAGAATTATCTGTGTTCATTAAAACACTTTGAGAAAACAGAGTAAATATTAGTTAAAACAAAATTAAATGTTTATTCTTAATCATTAAAAACTGCATCACATACATCATCTGAATATAATATAGAAGAAAAATATCTATGTGGTATTTCTTAAAAATGAGGTTTTAACTTGAAAAGCGGTCTTCATACAGGACCTTGTGACAAACATCACTTTTCCTGATAGCTGGTATTTCCTTGTACTTTTGGCAAACCTTTTTTATGTCATGTGCCAGAATCCTCTTTTGACCACTCCGACAAAATACTGCCTCTTCCTCTCAGCCCCTGGAATTTTCCTTGGCTCTTTGCTGCCACTGTTGCTGGTTTAGCTGAAACAGGGGTCAACAGTAGTGGCAGCATCTGTAAGAGGATACTGGGGCCCTGTTGAAGTGTTGCTGAAGTTTTATTCAGTGGTTCTGGCTTGAATCCTATCTTTGCCATTCTTGCTCTAAGATGATACTTCCATTTTACCTGTGGCTGGCTTTTGTGACCATCTTCTAAGGATTACACTTCAAAGATTAGACTTTAAAGATTAGACTTTATTTTTTACATAACACAATGCATAAATGAAAACCAAAGAAAATGTCTTCAGTTAGCAGGAAGAATTTGTAGGTGTTTCTTTGCATTTACCCACATTTCTTCTTGGCATTCATTTGTTTTAGCATGTTAGCACTAGAACCTGCATGTATATCTTGAGCCCCACGAGAAAATATGGCCATTTATTTTTATGTAACGTTAATCTATGATTTAATGTTTAGTGATACTTATTAAATCTCTAGAGACAAAAAATTGCATCGTAAGAAAAGTGCACACTGAGTTCTGCACAGCAGGGGGAGCTACGATCCATAGAAAAGAAATGTTTTTGATTTTAAAAAAACCCCCAAAGCTATCAGATATTTTTAAAAGGAATCTAAATATTTAACCTTTTACTGTTACTGTTAAATTCTAACTGTTGCTTAGACACTACGGCTTTGAAATTTGTGTAGGTACCAACAGTTTTAAAACATTCAATCATACCTTGAATATTGAACAGACTGATTTGTAAGTACTTGTTTAAGAATAATCAAGCAAACAAAAAAATAGGGAAACTACTTTTTATGATATGTGAAAAAGAAAGACTACTTACATGAATTGCATTATAAAGCCTGTCAGCAAAGTAGGAAGGCTTGTCACGAACACAGAGAACTAGGAGAGAAGAGTTGCAACAGGTAAATATAAGCTTATAAAATAATTTCTGCTGGCTTTGAGCTCCTTGCTGGGTAGTGCTGTCCATGAGTCAGATTAAAGTTAAGCTACTAGTTTTCACAAACATAACTATATTAATAATTTTAAAAGTCCTGTACTTATTTTGCAGTTGCATCAAAAGGCTTATTAAATATCAGTGAGTACGCTCACATGACATCTTTGTAGAAATATTATTATCCTTATTCTATAAATGGAAAACAAAGGCACATAAAGCTTGGAAATTATTTATATACCACTGAAGTCCTGAAAACTTTGCCAGTTATTTAATATGTGTAGAATCAGTTGGTAATTCACACAAAATTTATTATCAAATAAAGAACAGATACTAGTTTTGCTCAGTCAGAATCTAGTGCTGTATATATACATTTGTAAATTTACACAAACGTGGAAAAATAGTTCAAATATTCTTTTCTAATTATCTCTGAAAATGTAATTTTACAATATAGGAGAGTAAAGTGGAGAAAAATATTAGAAAAATATTATTATTGATGCACCAGAGATACTATACTAGATATTTATTAAGAAATTACTGCTATTATAAAGTAATATTTTTACGTTACCTATTGCAACCAGTAATTCTTGAAAGTATCCATCATAACATTCATTAATGGCATCTACTATGTCTTGCCCAGAGATATTTTGGAACTCCTGGAAAACTTGGGGGAAAAAAAAAATCTTGCTTATTCTAGTTCATTAATAAAGATCAACTTGCCTTTTTTTTTTGTTGTTTTGTTTTGTTTTTTACTGCTTCCCCCCAGTAATATAACTATTGAGTTTATTTTTTTCCCTATTTATTCTTGCTGTTTCCTTATGTTTATATCCCCCAGGTAAGGCAATCTAAGTGAGTAGCCTGAAACCTGGCTTCCAGGACATTCTCTCTCTGCATTCTCCAGTATACAGTTTAAAATGAATATATGCCAAAGCCTCTGTTTTGCTGGAAGCTTTAATAAATTCTTTATCTAGCAACCTATCTAGAAACTTGTAAGATTTTCATGTTATTAACACAACTTCCTTGCTCAGCTTGGCTAAAGCTGTCCAGAGATTCACAGGTTGTGACAAGAAGCCATAGCATGACATGTGTAACATGCCAGTATCCAGACATGAACACTCTCTGGATAATGCTGGTTTCCAGACTTAAACGCACAAATATATACAGGATGCACTTACTCCTTTAGGGAGGGAGGAATAGTTTCAACTCACTGCTTACTACAAAATTTATGGAGGACTACATTACAGGCAGAGCTCTCAAATCTTTGTTACAGAAGGAGAGTAGAGCATAAGCGCTTGTGTTGCATTATGTCAATACTATCATCATCAGCCTTACAGAAGTCATGATAGAAGAATTGATTTGTTGATCCATGACAGCAAAGTAGTTCTAAGCTACTGTTGGAAGTTGACATAAGAAATACAGCTGGTTGCACAGTGATAAACTTGTCACCAAACAGACTTTTTATTCCACTGCAGTGACAGCTCAAACTTGTCACCAGACATACATGTTTCTTTTCTACAGTGGAAGATCTGGATGATCTCACATAAATTTCTTGCAATCTCTAATTGTGTCTGATTATCTATTTTAAATAAAAATGTCCCATCATGTTTCTGTGTGTATGTTAATTACAAGAGAGCAGATGTGGACCCTGAAGTGCTTCCATCAGTATCTTCTTTGAAACTTCCAGGGAAAAGCTGCAACACAGCAATGTGTTTTCACATACAAATATTTGTTGAAAATACCCCAATTGCCTCTCCCAAGGTGTTTCCACTCAAAGCAAAAAGTTACTTAGGACAAATGAAGAAAATAAGAAATATCTGCCTCATCCTATTGTGTCGTGTGTAAACTCAGTGCTGCCATAGGCTGTGCCTTTCTTTGGTCATGCATTCTCCTCTCTGTTATTAGGCATCCCGACATCTGTCTGTTCCATCTACAGCTGTCTGTAGTCATCAGGCAAAGTTCAGTTTTGCATTACTTCCAAAATCCCATTAACATCAGTGGGAGTTTGAGAACTCCAACAGTTTGGTTAGGTTTCAGGCTAATACCCTGCTGCACACTGGGATTCTTGGTATGTAAACCATGGTTTTATTAGCAAGTCAGATTTTTTCTTTCCACCCTATGTTCAGACTGGTGAACCTCTGGATTACCCATCCACAACTGCTGGTAACTCTTGTTGCAGAGAATCATTTGCAGCATGTTTTTGTGTTCGCCTGTTTTCTGCTGACATGCTTCCCATAGAATCTAATATACCAGAAAAAGGAAAAAAAATGCAAAAGGTTTTAAGTAATTCCGAAATTACTTTTCAACATTTCTGTTTGTTCCTTTTTTTTTATATTTGAGAGGCTCATTTCTGACTATATTTACCATTGCATCCTGAGCAGCTGTAGAAGGATCTGCATATCCTTCCATCCTTGTTCCCTGGGGGAAAAAAAGATACATTTTCTTCAAAAGTTAAATCCTAAAAGACTGTAGGAACATAGAGTTGTGTCTATATGAAGCTGCATTTCATTTCCTGAGATATCACGTATAGACTTTTAGATTGAATAAGTGTATTCAATGGTTGAATTTACAACTGTAGAAACTACCTTCAAGTTGTCACATTATAGCCTCATTTCCTCTAAGAGGAGGAACTCGGGAACGGCAAATGGTCTGGTGAGAGGAAAAAATGGGGGAAGTGGATAAACCTCTCTTGGTTTTAGTCCCATTTTAAATAAGCTTTTAACATTCTACCACCATTTCCTGTATTATGGACATTATATTGCTTACTATAATACATAATTAGGAGGGGAAAACAAGGATAAGAGTAACATTTGACATTCACTGATTGTTTCTTATCAATATGCGTATTACCAGAAGAATCTTTTCTCTTTTTTTTTTTTT